AACATTAGTGAATGTCAAAAAACTGCATGAGTGGGTTTTAAGACCAAATAAGAACAGTTAGTGAATGAGTACCCATGTTTGAAAAAGATGTGAAGAACCTTTAAAGGTTTACAGAACATTCACATAATGTAAAGCTTCTATACCAACTTAAGTGTTCTTCCTAGAACCTTTACATTATGCAGAGGCTCTCTTAGGAACCATCCTCTGAAAGGTTTTTCAAAAAACCAAAAATGGGTGCTCTATGGCATTATTAATAGAACTTGTGGCACCTTTTTTAAGGCTGCATTTCTTGGTTCTGTTCAAATAACCTAACTGATTGATCTACACACGCAGCCCACCTAGACTGCAGCCTAGCCACATAAATGGGTGAAACTTCTTTTGAATTTTTATCTCAAAAGTCCATGTGTCTCTGCAAACGGCCCTTTCAGCTTGTGAGCAATTAGTATTAGACATCTGACAACTAGATGCACCTTCAAATTGAGAGAATCAAAGCAACCTTGGTCATCAACCAGCAAGTTCTAGAAAAGAATTGACACTTAACTTAGGTACCTTGCAAAAAAGCAAAAAGAAGATACCGGGGTGTCTTTTGATTAATTTTGGTGGAGCAGCATGTTTGGCACTGCTCCACAGCTCCTGATTGAGCTCATGAAGCTCTTATGAATTTTGGTCAGGGTGTGAGGGCCTGTGGTAGATTCTGATCCACCTTCCAAATTAAAGCTTCACACTTGGTTTGCTTTGTTTCACCTCCTCCTGTGTTTTTGTCTAATTCAGTTTTTTAAGGTAATCAGTGAACACCAATGCCCACTCCTTTGCTAACACTACTGATGTGCTGCCCAATGCCTGTACAGGAAACAGAAACTACAAGATGCGGAGAATATTGATAATCCATGAGTGTGTGTGTGGAAATTAACTGTGCCTGAGAAATCAAGTCCTTTTTTCAGTGGGAATTTCGCATATGAGACAAATGCAATATCTGCATTGACACACAGTCAAAAAACAAGGATTTTCTTAACAGCCTTTCAGCATTGACAGCACTACATCTATGACGACTAAAAACTCTGATAATTCCAATAAATGTTCCTAATTTCTGCACAATTCAGTTGACATTTAAAGTCATTCAAAGTGTTTTGATAGTACAAGGTAGAGAAAGTTACTGACTCAGATCAGATCTGACCAGTGAGCCTACACATGACTTCTGTTGACATATTGTCACGGTGCAATCTTGCAGACTGGACAAACTCCGCTGCCATGGAGCAAAGTTCCGGCTCACATCCCAGTCAAACTCTGTCACTGTGATGCAATGTCCTCAGTCGACAATGTAAAACATCCGGGTCAGCGGGGAAAGTTAAAAAAATCACAAACATATTACAAACAAAAGAAACAAAAACCCAATGTATAGCGCTAGCCACAATGTGCACAGCATTCTTACACTAGACATGACCACACACACGCACTCACACACCAGTATGAACCAACTTTAACCTTAGGTTGTATGCTGTCAAATGCTAAAGGCCATGCATTGTTTTGCTGGAGCAGACCAATGAAATAACAAACAAATGAGCATGCAAACAGCATAGTTGTTTCTTGTAGCTGTAGCTGTCTCGATGTTGTCATTTGAAAGTAAGCCACGTGCCTCTGTCCTCTGTTGGTCTTTTTATGGCCTGAGGTATGGTGGTATGGTGAGCATAGCTGCCTTCCATGCAGACTTGGGTTCATATCCTGGCCAATGTGTCGCCTTTAGGGCATCTTATTCAGAAAACCGAACTGACGCTAACAGAATCCAACATCAAACTAGACCTACATTTTTGCTGAAAACTGAATTTTTTAATTTTATAGCTTGGAATCCATGTGGCAAAAATGTGTGTTATAACTAGCAAAAGCTAGGTGCACAGTAATAGTATCACTTTGCAGCTGTTAATGAGGAAGTGCTTCCAAAAGCAAGGGATGATTGTACTAGTACTATGTGATAACCGATGAAACATGATAACTGATGCACTACAAAAACCATTACAGCTTCAAAAAAACTGGCTAATCTTAATGGCGGTTACTCTTTCTGACTTAAGACAACACCCTCAACTAAAGGAAACTGAAGTTAAATATTATGAAAATAAAAACATGGTGTCTGAGGCGCCAGAATGTAACTGCAGCACCATTTAAGGTGGAACAGGTAAATTCGATTAAGAAGCAGGAGAGCGAGAAGCTGACTTCAGCTTAGTACCTTTTTTTAGTGTTTGAGAGTGTCTTGTTGCAGTTTAAATGTATCAGGAAACCAGCTGGAGTGCTTATAATTGCAAATAAGTCCATTTGTTCCCAAATTATCATTGTTCGTCTTAAATCTTTCTCTTTGCCAATTCGTTAGCTACTAGCTAGATGGGATTGCGTTGCTATGGTTACTCGCAGTCTGTGTGCCAATCTTCAGGGTTAAAGGTTGGTGAATTAGCAGTTATAGGCTACATTAACTCCAGTGTTTAAAACCATTTATTCCTAAAACTGTGTTAGAATTATCAGCAGAACTGTGTAACAGGGAAGCAGAGGAGCCGCGTGAAGCCGACCCCTGTTCTAGGCCATCTGGAGGTCCTAAACTATGAGCAGAGTGGTAGCCTGACCAATGTGTTTCAGTCAGATGTTGGAAATGAAAAACATGGAAAATGGAAAGCTTTATGCCAGGGCTCTTTACAAAACGACGTGGAATGGAAAGTAATGTCATTTACAAGCTTTAAATGTCTGTGTTTAATCTAGAATGGTCAAAACTATTCATGTGAATTGCCATTAGTTTAGTGCTAACATGCTACTAGAATCCTACAAGGGTGCAAGCAAAAATTATCACTATCAAAGAGGTGTTTTTTTTACTTTTATTTTTTTTTATTTATTTATTTTTGACTATTACATTTACAGCCTGAACTGAAGGACTAGTGGTAATAGTTTGCCACTGACCAACTGCAGTATGTTCTGAAATGCCAGAAAGAAAAGAACCAATTTATTATATACAGCTAGAGAGATTACTGGGATTGCAGCAGGACCAAATTCTTACTCTCATGGCCACAGAAGCAAACGTTACAGTCAAAGCAGTCATGTGACTTAGTATGAACTTGTGGTCAGGTCCAAATGCATTTTAATGAATGTTTTACTATGAAAGAATGTTGTTCATGTGATTCACAGAGACTACTGGCATCAATAAAAATGGGTTGTCATAAAAATGTCCCAGCTTTACTGGAAAAACAGCTAAAAACAGGGATAAACTGCAATATCAGGGCCCATAAAATAGTCCTGACTTGTCACACTTGTTCAAAACTGAAAGGGTAAAGGCATTTAATTTGACTATTCGATATGCGTTATCCAGTTCTTATTATATATAGCCACTCATATATATATATATATATATATATATATATATATACTGTGATAATGAGTTTATTGTATCATTTTACAGCCTGACTGCTACTACTGTTCATCATTATTCACACATATGCTGCTCAATCAATCAAACGTCAAATTTTTAAGGTTCATTAAACATGCAAGACACTGGAGTAAGAAAACATATTAAGAGAGATGGAGAGGAGGAGAGAAAGAGAGAGAGAGAGGGGGAGAGAGAGACAGAGAGAGAAATCATGCAGCTTTGATAGAGATTACGTGAGGAAATAGGATTATGTGTCTGACAGTTTAGTGTTTTATTATGCAACAGAAGAGCTCAGTTATCTCTCTCCCTCATGCTTGCTTTCTCTCAACCTCTCTCTCTCTCTCGCTCTCTTTTTCTCGTGCACACTTTTTCTCACTCTCTTGTTGGACAGTATGTTCTGTGATCCAACATGTTAAGTGTGTGTAACAGTGTTTTCATAATGTGTTAAAGGGAAAAGGGTATACTTTGGTGTATGACTGTGTTAACAGATGCTTAGACAACCATCTGTAGAGTGAAATCTCTTAATCACATATAATTCTATTGAGCTCAAAGAGCCTAAGCTTAAGACTGCCCCACCACACACACACAAACACATGAGCACACACACACTAGCCAGCACTAGAAATGGCATATCTGTATCGATTTGGCCGATATCAGCAGAAAATGTTGGATCAGTACTTGGAATTGGATTCAATCCTGTAATAAATGTAGACTGAAACAGCTTACACTCATGTTGTGTGATGTGATGTTATGTTGTTGTATTTCTTCAGGCAGGGTAGAAGAGTGAGTAGTTTGAGCATGACAGCCTACTTTTAAATGCTCATCTTAAATGGGAACTCCATCGTTTTTTCAAAATTTCGGCATAGTGAAGTAGTTAAGATGTAAACAAAGTCATCCAGAGTGGATTAGTGTGAGATGCACTGTTCTAGAGAAACTTACAGAGTCAGAATTGTTCACAGTGGAGGTGACAGAAACCAGACTTCTGAAAGGTTTAATGCCTCTAAAAGCTACATCACAAAAATGTTTGGTTTGAATGAAATGGTTTTTAATATGCTTCCTGGTTTCCAAGACACTGTTCTATGATATTTTTGAGATAAACCTCTGGGCTACCTTGTACTTTTTAAAATCCATTAATGGTGGAGAGATACATGCAGGGTGTCATAAGGCAAAGTAGTCCCCATTAAGTCTAGATTTACCACTGTTTTACTAAGGGGTAGTAAATTAAATGGCTATATTTATGCTAAAGATATGGAGACCCTTGGTTCCTATCATCACCACTGTAATTTGTTTCTCTACAAATTAACCATTTCACCTCAAACCGCACTGAATGAATCTGTTTACATCGCAACCACTGAATTATGCAGACATTTTGAAAAAAAAAAATCGATGGAATTCCTCTTCAAGGGAAGTGCTTAAATTTTACATTTACATGTTTTAAAAAGCTCATTTAAAGCATAGTTTTTAAAGAAAAATATCAGATCAATATGAGCCGATACTCAAGGTTTTAATATCGGTAATATTGGAAAAGAAAGAGTAGTATCATGGCATAGTCAGCACAAATCAAATCTTATCCTTTACACTGAGAGAGAGAGAGAGAGAGAGAGAGAGAGAGTTGTACTCAGACTTGTAGCAGTGAGTCACTCAAATGTAGGGTACTTTGCCCTCTGAAGTTCCTTAGAGCAAAAATGAACGTATTTTACTGTAAACGCTAGTAAATTTACCATTGAACGTTACCTTTCAACGTCTAATACGCACCTCGCTACTTAAATAAAGAATAAAATAGAGAAAATACTCGCGGAGGACACGAAACCCCTGTGATACTTCTCTTGACTTCTTTGCTCAGCGGCTCCCACTTCCGCGTTTCACTCCGACGTAACGCAGCCTAAAACAGGAAGCGCTAATCTCAAGGGTTAATCTCCCTCCGCGCGTCCACAGGTATTTACTGTAAACTCCTGCAGTTTAACTACTATGTCCGTTCTTCTGTTTCTGTTGAATACTACAGCGGAACACGTACACGTTCCACTGAACGTGTCAGAAAAGCTGAGAGGAGGGCAGTAATAGCCGAGCTAACGGTAGTTAGCTAGCCAGAAGCGCCTGTGTGTCAGAATGCAGGTGACAGGGTTGACAAGGCGTTCACTCCAACCGTCGCTTTAATCGCTCACACTGTGTCTGTGTTTGTGTTCCGACGGCTGAAATTCACTTCACATAATCGCCGTTTTCCGTTTCAGCGTGTCTCAGTCGACCGGGCATCAGAGTCGGAGGGAGCCTGTCTGTCTGTCTGCGCTTTTCGGTGAAAAAGCAGGTCCTGCGTCTCCACTAAAAAGATTCGATCGCAGGAGTCTATCTACACCCTCAGCTGCTTGCAGAAGAATGCCTGCCGGTAAGCGATGCAACAGTCTTGTTTGTTTCACTCTTTTGCTACAAGCGAATACGCTGAGACATGAACCACAACTTTCGATATCTCAAAACATGGGTACTCCGCATTGTTGCTGAGAACAGTGAGCCTAAACAAGTGGTTTTTACTTTTACTGTTATAGGGAGAGATACAGACTAATGAACGGGCTTCACTGGCCTTGTTGAGATTTTAAAGGGCCGTATCGTGGAAACTCGAGTTTTACACACTTTTTTTAAGAGTTTGATGTTGTAAGTAAACATTGTTAGCTAAAGTTCCAAAACATACCATTCACTCCCCAGTCCATACAGTCCGTATATGCAAATTAAACTGCAAAAACAGTTGTTTTCATCTATACAACCTACAGCTGTTTACTCCCGCCCATTCACGCTGAAGTTAGAAGTGTTTATGTCTGCTTTTTGGATGAGACATAATGCAGAGGTAATTTATGTATGCAGTGGTATACAAAAGTTTGGGTGCCCCTGATCAAATGACATGCTTTGTTGAAAATAAGTACACATCCTCTACAGAGAGCACATGTTTACATATTTTAATGCACAATTACCTTTTTTAGCATGTTGGAGAAAAAAGCATAAATGTGGCCAATGCAGAAGTTATGGCATCTTTTATATTCTATGTTTTATTTTACCCAACATGTTAAACTAAATTAGTGCACTAAAATTAGCAGAAATATGCCATCTTGAAGTTTGTTCCCTGTAGAGGATGTGCTGACTTATTTTGGAAAAGAAAAAGAAAACATGGAATTTGACCAAACTTTTGCATGCAACAAAAATAACAAAATAGCCTATTTAATTCTATGTGATTAGGAGAGGTGGAAAACAGTTGTGTAAAAATTAATGATGACCAATTTTGGTACATAAAAGCACACAAAACTCAAAAGTGGTCCTCAAGAAAAAAAAAAGAAAAATGTAGGTTATGTGCCCTTTAAATTGCTAGTCACAGAAGAGATAAGTGGCTTACTCAGCAAAGTCTGTGGAATGTGTTCTTCCTCCATTTCTGCAGTGAAGGAAGTTTGGGTGGAAATGACTGTAGCTTTCCAGTGCTGGAAAAAATGATAATCACTATCAGAACCTACACAGCGTTCACATGTGGATTCCATTTGTAACCGTTAGCCCTGTGTGTTGTTCTCGCGCATGTTTTTGGACAGGCACATGTACTTTCATATAACTGTTGATTTTTTGAGGACCAGATGTGTGTATAGTAGGGGTGTATGGTTCCCCATATTTTCAGGTTTGATATAATTTTCAATTTATAATTTTGCTGCACAAAATGTAAATAAAAACAATGCAATAATGTGCAAATCATTTAAACCCTGCATTTCATTAAAAATAGTACAAAGACAACATATCAAATGTTGAAATGGAGAATTTTGAATTTGATGCCATCAACATATTTAAAAAAAGTTGGGACAGGGGCAACAAAAGATTTTGTTGTAAAATTGTATAATGCTGAAATACACCTGGTGGTTAACTGTAAAATAGCAAAGAATTTGGTGATTTTATCATCTATGGTACATAATATCATTAAAAGAATCTCTGAATGCTAGAGACCAGGCGGAAAACCAGTATTGGTGAGCCGTAATCTTCCGGCCCTCAGGTGGCACTGCATTAAAAACAGACATGATTTTGCAGTGGAAATCACTGCATGGGCTCAAGAACACTTCTGAAAACCAATGTTTGTGAACACAGTTCGTCGCTCCATCCACAAATGCATGTTAAAACTCTACCATGCAAAGAAGAAACCATATACAAACAGGATCCAGAAACACTGGCGCCTTCTCAGGGCCCAAGCTCATTTAAGATGAACTAAGGTGAAGTGGAAAAGTGTCCTGTGGTCTAATGAATCAGAATCTGAAATTCTGTTTGGAAATCATGGACACTGTGTCCTCCAGGCTAAAGACCAACCAGCTTGTTAACAGTGCACAGTTCAAAAGCCAGCATCCGTGATGGAATGGGGGTGCATTAGTGCACGGGACAGGGGTGAGTTGCACATCTCTGAGCGCATCATTAATGCTGAAAGATATATACAGGTTTTGTCCGCTTTTTCAGGGAAGGTCCTGCTTAGTTCAGTAAGACAATGCCAAACCATATTCTGCACATTTTAAAACAGCATGGCTGCATAGTAAAAGAGTCCAGACTGCCTGTCACCCATTGAAAACATTTGGCGCAATATGAAATGAAAAATGAGACAAAGGAGACCCTGAACTGTTGAGCATCTGAAATCCTGGATCAAGCAAGAATGGGAAAACATTTCACTTTCAAAACTACAGCAATTGGTCTTCTCAGTTCCCAAACGCTTACAGAGTGTTGTTAAAAGAAGAAGTGATGCAACACAGTGGTAAACATGCCCTTGTCCTACTGACTAATGCACTCGCACTGTACAGAGGATGGAGACCAGGTAAACAGGTGAGAGACTCTTCCAAAGCATCTGTCGTTTCATAATTTGGGAAGTGTTTAATATGGATACGCACTCTAAGATACTAAATACAGTAGGTAGCACAGGTCAAAGACCTCTTTATCCAATGTGGCGACATCTGCCTGGATAATGGTGGAAATGTGTTTTTGGACAGGTCAAAAATTGTTAGACCACTGTTGAGTTTGGCAAAAATCAGTGATTTTCTCAGTGGAGGAGTGGGGCAAACACTCGTATGGCCCATCCAGAACGAGTTTAAATCCCAGAGTAGCACCTATAAAAGAGAAAATTACCCCAGGAACCAATGTCAGTTCAGTCCTGTCTGAATCTGGATTTAGATACTGTTTGAGTTAGAGATGTCACAATACCATTTTTTTTCTTTTGCAGTACTGAGGCCAATATCGAAACCTTGTGCATCGGTTGATACCAGTCCGATTTTTTGTTTTCTATAAAAATTACTATGCTTCAAAACTGACGTACGTCACTTCAAATGAGCATCTAAAAGTAGTTATCATGCTCACTCTACCATCCCACAGGAAGAAACACACAACTAACATCACACTAGGTCTGTTTCTCTTGTGAAAAACATGGTGACTTACTTGACTCTGTATCTACATAATTGTGTGTAACTGTACACATTTTTGAGTATTTTGTATACCTACATACAACAGTGTAGTGTATCATTTTGACAGTAAAACCAGTATTAGCTAGTAAGTAAACATAGCTAGGACGCAAGATAGCTAATCAGCCAAATTGACCACCTAAGACTTGTTCTTCAACAGTTGGATACAATAAATGAATAAAGACAATAAAGTAGTTAATCGCAATTATTTTTATGACACTTAATCGGCAGCTAGAATTTCACGATTGTGACAGCCCTACATTACACAATGTGTTTTATTTCAGGAAAGATTTGTTGGATTAATTTTTTTTTTCTCTAATATCCAATCCAGGATTTTCTACTGTTACCAGCTTCCTATTGACACCTATCAGTACAAATATGCCATCTCAAGTTTTATTATTATTTTTTTTTTTACAACTCATAGTTTCCTCAAAAGATAACAAATGTGAGACTGTCTGAAGAAACCAAGGCACATATTTTACATTTCAATACACTATTTTGAATATATATATGTGTATATGTATGTATGTGTGTGTGTGTGTATATATATATATATATATATATATATATACACATACATATATCTATTTTTTTCTATATATATATATACACAATATAAATATTATAAATTATATAAAATGTATATTACGTATATATATTTTACAATATAAATTGAAACAAACACACCTGTAGTGTATACGGTGTCCACTTCTCATCCATAGAAATTTAATCAAAACAGCTGTAGATTTTAAAATATTCTGTTTGTGTCCTTCCTTGTAATTGTCAGATGAAAAATCATCACTGCATGCACAAAACCTTTAAACAGTTCTCTTGCTAATTTGTGGTTCATTGCTAAAAGCCATAGTTTGCATGTTTCTACATCATTAGGTAATCATTCGTAATGTTCCAGACAGCTAGCTTTCTTTGCTCTGTTTACTATTTGTAACTTTTCGTAACTTCATTGTTCTTTGAGATGCAACTTCAAGGTGACTGTCTCACAGTTTTGATGTGAGTTTCGATGTACAGCTCAGCCCTTGAGGTCCAGTTTGAAAGTTGAAAGAGCAGTAGTACTACATAGCAGAGCGTTCTGTGGATGATAATGTAATTTCAGTTTTAGGTTAAATGTTTAAATAAGGTCTATCTGTGATGTTTTCCAATTTTTTTTCAACTTGTTTACATAACTTTTTCCATTTTTGAGGCAAATAAATTAAGATTTTGGGCATGTTACAGAGATGAGCTTGTTAATGGTGTAAGTCCAGTGTTTGTTAGCAACATTAGCCTAGCATGTCCCATGTCGGTTATCAAACGTGTCTTGGCTGATCGACTGCTTCTGGAGTAAGTTATAAATCATGTTAATTTGATTTTTCATATTACTATCCCTTTAAAAGACTTTTTTGGGTGCGGCTAGTGATGTGACATTCACAAATGTATCAGCTCTTTTAGGTGAATGTTGAGAGCTAACTCATGTTGAAGAGCTGATATGGGTCACATTATAAGAGCCTACGACGTGTTTACTTGAAGTGCATCCAGTGAAACCTCTGATCTATATCTGTCTTTCACCTGATCTAGAGCAAATCTTGCAAGAATTGTGAGATATTTGTTTGACTCTGTATATTCTAAACAGCTGCCACCAGGTTGCATTGCTGCTTCTTATGATGACGTGCAATGAACAGTCATTAAGTATGTACACTATTTGGTGGAATACAGAAATAAACAACACCAGCTTTCGCTAAGTACATTGGCTATGCTGTAAATGCCATTGGTAATCCAGAAGAAATAAAGACCTCTCAGTTATATCAAATATCTCAAACTCAGAGATCTAGAGATCACTTACTTTGAGATTTTTGTCACAAATGTGTATGTAATGAAAGAAAAATAAGCTGAGGCTTCATGACGGCCTCTGAACAATGGTCTGCCTTTAAATTTTCATAAC